GCTTCATGAAGAAAATTTTGAAATTACAACACTACGGATTGATGTCCTCACTGATGGAAGACATGCTGAGGTAGAATTCACAACTGACTGGCAGAAAGATGCTGAACGCAGAGATCTCACTATAAATTCAATGTTTTTAGGTAATATCTTTTCAAGTAAAACCTGCGTTCTGTAAATGTTTGCCAACTTGAGAAGTTACATTAGTTTCTTCTAAGAGACAAGTGTGCCCATATCCTTAAAAAGAATTGAATCTGAAGCCAGAATCCCTAAGTTTAAATTCTGACTCTATCACTCACTAGCCATAAAATAAAGGTTTTAATAGCTTCGTTTGTAGGGCTGTTGTGAAGATAAAGGATGTTAGTGATTATAAATACTTAGAACAGTGCCTGACACATGTACACATTCATTCAGTGTTAATTTCTTAAAACTGCATCTAAACATTAACATTTCAGGGAAGAAAAATGCACATACACACCCATGCATGTGCATATACTCCCCCCTACCCCTCCACTGCGTTTCTGCTGCCTTGTCTTTTTTGCATCCATTTCTAGTCTTTCCTCTCTTATGGTGCCCGTGGCATATACTGGTGAGTGGTTTGAGTACCTTTTTTATAGGTGAGCCTACACACAACTTCAAATTCCTTTTTAGGTGAACCTGTTCACAACTTCAGATTTTTTTTTGAGCACTGTATTTTAGGAATCGTCAGAGCTGCTATGTCAGGCGAAACCTGTCACCACAGCATAATTTTTTTGTTAATGAAAATGATGGGAAAATCATATGAGGATAGATAAGAATTTGGTTACTGTTTTGGTACTTTATTGATATATTTTGTACTTTAAGTTTAATATAAACCCTTCATTTTAAAACTGGTGAAAGGGTGAAGTAATAATAGGATTTGCCTCATGAGATGAGGAAGAAGTTTGTAAGCCAAGGTAGGATCTCTTGCTGACTACTGACAAATGCTACATCTAGGGTGCTTGCTAGGTTCTAGGTACATCAGTGGTCACTTGACATACTTTATGAAGATACAGAAAACTTCAAGTAAGTAACTGTACACATGAGAAAACTGAGACTCACAGATGTTAAGTTCCTTACTTCAAGGAACTTAGGAACCTTAGAGCCTGGTTTGAGCCGGTTTCTAAAGCCTGGCCAATTTATCACCATAGGGAGCCCAACTGGTATATATTTTCTTTCAATTATGTAGTCAGTCTCCATTTGGATCTTTGCCATTCTGACAGAAATCAGGAAAATGCTATCTGAAAAGATAAAGGTTGAGAATCTTTTTTTTTTTTTTTTCCTTTGTTTTTTGAGGCAAGGGTCTTGCTCTGTGGCTGAGGCTGGAATGCAGTGGTGTCATCATAACTCAATGTAGCCTTAAATTCCTGTGCTCAAGTGATCCTCCTGCCTCAGCCTCCTGAGTAGCTGGGATTAAGGAATTTACAGGCATGAGCTACTGTGCTTTGCCCAGAATCTTCACTTTTTAAGAAACTTCTGTATTTCTTTTATATATCTTACCCATTTTTCTATAGTCTTTTATTTATAAGAACCTTTATGTATTATGGAAATGAGTCATTTGTCTTTATGATACGACTTACATGTATTTTTCTCAGACTGTCACGATTCTGTGTGATGATGGTTTTAGGCGTGCAGGCATGTTTAAATTTTTTTTTTGTGTAGTTTATTTCTTTGAAGACTTTGGTATTGTGTTTGTGTTTTGTTTTCTTGGTAATTAGAGTTTGAAAAGTTTTGCCCATTCTAAGATTATAAAATACCTTCCTGTTGTTTCTTCTGTTATTTAATTTTTCTAGATTATTTTGGCAGTTGTTCATTTTCCCATGTTAACTTGAAAATCAGCTTGTCACTTCATACAGGTCTTGCATGTCTTGTTTTTTCTTGGATATATTATATTTTAGTTACCATTGTAAATACAGCTTTTTATTCTTTCATTTGATAGTTGATATATATATGAACAGTATTATTAATATTTATATTTTAGTTTTATTATTTTTCATACTTTGCTGAATTTCTGTTTGTGATAGTTTTTAACTGATTGTTTTGTTTTTTCCAATTCTTACCTGCCAGTAGTGATTTTTCTCCCCTTTCTTCCTAATGAATAGGTTTTGATGGCACCTTATTTGACTATTTTAATGGTTATGCAGATTTAAAAAATAAGAAAGTGAAATTTGTTGGACATGCTAAACAGAGAATACAAGAAGATTATCTAAG